GGGGGGGGGGGGTGCTCTTATCACCTTCCCTGGAGGGGGGACTGTATTTTTCCCCGCAAAAGAAAAAAGAGAAAGAAGAAGAAGAAGAAGAAGAAGAAGAAGAAGACTCGGCGGATTTGATGCTTCTGGACTGGAGAAACAGAGTGAGGGGGGAGAGAGGGTGCAAGCGGCCTTAGGGAAAGCCCGGAAAGGGAGTTCAATCAGGTAAGGATTGGCGGGGGAGACGTGGTGGAAGCAGCCTAAATAAGGAGTTCAGTGAAATAACTGAAAATACGGTGAAAAGCGGGATGGATGGTCAGCCAAGGCGGGTGACAATGAGATGACCCGCTGAGTATGATGGTGTGTCAGGAAATTAATTAATTGATTAATTAATTAAAATGATGGTGTGTCAGGTGGACTTTCATGCTGGGCAGACAACGGTCAGTAGAATTGGTTGGGGCAGGATGCACATGTGAGCTGGGGGGCATGTGGGGGCATGTGGGGCCAGTAAGACCTGTGAGGGGGTATTGATGGCTTGACCTTTTTACCTTTCTTTGTTTTTTTTTTATAATCTCCAATAGAAAGGGCCCAGTGCTCAAGGCTTTGATTATCTAAATGAAACACAACCGAAATGCTGGGTCCAATACCCACCTTAAAATTCTTCAATACCTTTTTTTTTTTTTCCCCCCACCTTTCTCGGCATATTGGCTAAAACTAGATCAAGTGCCTTGTATCTGTTCTGATCGGTTTAATATCTGATCCGTGGTCCATCCGGCCACAAAAAAAAGAAAAGGAAAGGGGAAGAAAAACAAAAACGGTTAAAAGCACCTTCGGCTTTGCAGTTACAGATGGCTTTACCTTTTTTGGGGGGGGGGGGGGGGGGGGGGGGAGAGAGTACATGGCTCAGAGAATTGGAGGGGGTTAGCGGTGATAGACAGGGCCTGGATTCCCTTAGACAGAGAAGAGAGGGAAGACTAATAGCAATGCACCACACAGATCTGTTCTTCTTACGCTTCTTTTTTCTTTTTTTCTTGCTCTTCAATAAAGACTCTTTGGACCCTAATAGGAAGAGTGGTACGAGCATCTCCTCCTACTAGGGTCCACATGGGTCACTCAAGATATTGGTGGGGAGCTGCACCTGCTGGAAAACTGGTCCAGCGTCCCTCGTGTATATATGGAGAATTGAATAGGAAAATGCGTAAGATGAATCTGAACCTCTTCACCTCTGAGAGGGTGTCAGATGTAACTAACTTACCTAGTCCAGATCACCTGTGGAGTGCCAGATAAACCATCAAAGCAACGTGGAGCAAAGTCGACACGAAGTCATGTTTACAAATGAAAAGTCATGACTCAAAGGCCCAAGCAGCAGCAGTCAATGGAAATTTTCCAGGCCTTGACATTCAGAAGCAGACAGGCCGAGGGGATGTGGTACTGGAGAAGCTGGCACGAGTTGAAGTGCATTCTAAGACTACAAAGGGCTGGTCAGCCCACCATTTGGGCAGATTGCTCATTCCCAAGAAGTGTGGAAGTGCGGGTGCACTTGTGTGCTGATGTGAGGGACAGAGCGCTGAAGCCAGAGTGCTGCACTGAGAGAGAGAGAGAGAGAGAGAGAGAGAGAGAGAGAGAGAGAGAGAGAGAGAGAGAGAGAGAGAAGAAGACAGCGCTGACAGGGAGAAGGCAGCCATAGCTGCGCCAGCGCAGGGTGTCCATGTTAGTAGATAGTATTAGAGTACAGAGGGGTTAGTAGAGTTGACAGTGGGTGTATTCAGAGTAGATCTTTGAGTAGAAGTTAGTGTGTGTGTGCATGCATGTAGGGAGAGAAGGTACAGTGAGGTCATGGCTACAGAGAAGACCAGCAAGGAGGGGTGATACAACAGAGAGAGAAGAGCAGAGAGGAAGAAGATACTTACCTGGGTGATTATGTTGGATGTTTGGTTGCCGATGACATGCGTTGTTTTGAGCCGGTGACTCGGAACTCTTATTGCTCTTGTTATAACTTGTTGGAAATCATAAGCTGCGCTATCTGGTCTTAATCTCTCTGGTCTCCAGTGTGGACTACGGGTGAACTCGTACATGCATATGGTGTGAATATGTGGGCTCATTGGTGTTGAACTGGGAGGTTCATAGCAAACTGGTGTCGGAGCAGTTGCTCGTTACACCCATTGGACATCGCTGGCAATGATTAAGGTCGGCGAGGAGGGAGATAGGAGAGTGAGTTGAGTGGGGAGAAAACTGAAAAAGGGGGAAAGAAGAAGGCCGAAGAAGGAGTGGCTCGATTACGTAGCTGTTGCTGCTGCGTTGGAGCGTTGGAGCGGCCGTGGAGCTTCATCAACGGAACGTTCATTGGAGTGAAGTGCATCACCCATTAAACCTGTATTGCTTGCTGACTTGTCTTGGTGTTTGGTACCTTCCCAACCCTGGTGTCGCTGCTGCTGGGCTGGTCTGGTCTGAATCGTCACATATCCGATCTGCCTTGAGTCCAGAACCAGTCCGCTCATTAAAAAAATATATATACATAGAAAGTTCGGGGGGGTATTCAGCAATCAGCAACAGCCAGACCCACTCGTGAGTTAGCAAGTTAGTAGTTGGGGTTAGGTCTAAGTGGTGAGGAGTTGGAGGCCGTTTTCCAACTTTTCCTGTGCTTCTAGTCACCATGGATGACTACCCCATGTTTTCGATTTTGGCCTTGTCTGTACTTTGGGCCCCGTTGTTCCGGTTCCTCTTTCCTATTGGCTTCCAACGCACCTCTATCTGCTACACCACCATGAGGTCTGGGAAGTCAACACAGGTGCATTCAGCCAAAGAGCAGGCAAAAATAGACCGCCTGCTAGCAAAGAAAAGAAAAGAGGAAGAAGAGAAGGTAAAGAAAAAGGAGGAGGGACTGAAGAGGAAGTTACAAGAAGAAAGGCAGCAAATGGAGAAGGAGGTTCAGGAGAAGGAGAGCGCCATGAAAGAGAAAGAAAGGATGATGATGGAGGAGTTGAAGGCCATAGAAGAAGAGGAAGAAGTGGAGGAAGAAGGAGAGAAGCTGGAAAGAAGAAGTGGTCAACAACGACAAGAACAAGCTGAAAGCAGCCAAATGGGTGGCATTCAAATGTGCCAACTGGAAGCTAGGGACTGGCTAGGACAGTTCGGGTTTCGGGAGGAGCTGCCAGCAGAGAGCGAACTCGAGAAGGAAGTTTTCCTCAAATTGTTGTCGGAAGAACATGATGAGGTGGAAAAACGATTGTTGGTAGAGGAGAGAAGGGCAGACTTGCATAACCGCATGCTGTTGGAGAAGAGAAAAATGTTTGATGAGAAGAAGAAGATGAAAGAGGAGGGGGAAAGATTACGGAAGTTGCTGCAAGAGCAAAAAGGGAAACAGGTTGCAGTAGAAGAAAGACTCACCCTCCTCATTGACACCCTCCTCGATACCAATGATCAACCCGTTGTACTCCATCAAACCGTTAACAAAGTAGAGGCACAACAAAGGGAATTTGTAGATATTTGGAACAATTTCCTGAATAATGCCTCGTCACAGATAGACTCGCAAGTCCGCTGTTACGTGGAGTTGTTAGATGAAGCCCTCTGTCAGAAACTTAAAGACCCCGCCGTGTTAAAGCAATTGAAGATTGGTGGTGGGATAGGAGATAGAGGTGATGATGGTGATAATGGGGACAGGAAACGAAAGGGAGTCAAGAAAGAGAAGGATGGAGAAACGAAGGAAGCCAGGCAGAAGATGAAAGTGAAACTGCCATGGACTTACAACGGGAATAAGGAAAAAAATAGTTTCCATTGAGGAGCCGCTATGGGAACGTATCTGTTCGCACAGAAGATTCCGTACTGGGACTGGGTATTGATGGCAAGTTCGTGTATGGCAGGGGACGCAATGAGTTTCGCCATCTTTAATGAAAGAGGCTGGATGCACAACCATGGTTGAGTATTCTCAATAGAGGCAGATTAAAGACTTTTTCAAAGCCCTTAGAGAAAGGTTCGAAGTTAAGAACCTGACCAGTAGGACTGAGTTTTTGATTCTTAACATTAGTGACCATAAATGGAAAAGTGCGTCAGCCCTCAAGACCACTATGGATAAACTGTTGCAATGTCCGGATCACAGACTGACACCGGCACAAATACTGAATAACTTTGCTAGAGCGCTCCCTGATCCTCTAAAAACAACTTTATCCCCGTACTAAGGAGGAAGGAATGCCATACGAGAAGTTTAGCAAGATCGTCGTAGATCACGCTGGCTTCCTGCAAGAGGTACATTATTGCCATTATTGGAAAAACCTGCAGGCCGGCAAGAAATGGAAAGACCGTACGATCTCAGGGAATATAGTAGGTAAAGATAACTTACTGGTCACCTTTGAAGAAGGAGGAGTGGAGTCACTTACCTATGACCAGATAGACTATGGGTTAGAAGAAGAAAGCAATGGTCACTTAGCCCAGGGAGGGGACTATGCGGTTGTTGCAGCCCGCAGGGGAGGGCGACAAGGAGGAAGAAGCCGTGGTAGAGGAAGAGGAGGCCGAGGTCGTGGTGGAAAGAGAGGACCTGCCCAGAGGGGTAGTGGCGAAGGTAGCTGCTATGTGGGAGGTAGGGCCAATGGTCCCTCGCAAGGTGGTAGAGGTTCCAACTCCACAGGGGGTAGAGGTAGAGGTAATTGGCGGCCATATCCAAACCATCATGGAATTCCCATAGGCAAACCGTGGGAACAAATGGGAATAGAACAAAAAGTTTGGGAAGAAAGGAAGGCTGCCGACCAATGTTTTAAATGTGGTGACCCCGACCACATAGTTCCCTTTTGCCCCAAATATACGTACCCAAAAGGGAACGACCAGTAGAGGTCTCAGTTGCCTCTACAGGGACTCTGGATGCAAGCAGACTGTCATCCTCCCATCCAGAGGTCTCGATGGCAGAGAATCGGACGAGAGATGACCCCCATCGAGTTAACTGTTCAGAGGTTGTTTGTGTTAGAACCTCTTTAGGTGGTTCCCCTGCAAGCATAGGTGATGAACTGATCACTCGTCGCCTCGCTTGGGCCGAGATGAAGAAAAAGAAAAGGCAATTAATAATTGTAGATGTAGAAGTCACAGGAATCAGGGTTGGCGCATTAGTGGACAGTGGGTCAACATGTAGCTATATTAGTAAGAAAGGTTTGCAAAAGCTACGGTTATGACTTAAGGTTCAAAATTAGAACAACCCGTCGTAAGTAAACTGGTTGATAATAGAGAAATGGTGGTTGGTAATTATGTTGAAGGGGTTAGGACATACTTCTGGTTGGAGGCAGGGGGAAAGGTGGAACGTGTTCTGGACTCCCTGACACTCTCAGTGGAGGACTGTCTCCCTTTTTAGATGATTCTAGGAACTGACTGGGGTGAGGTCGCCAATGCGGATGTGAAACTGGGTGAGCATGAGTGTTGTTTGCCTAGTCCTACAGGCGAAAAGAAGAAAATTCGACTTTACCATGCATCTGGCGTAGAAAATAGCCTATCTCTTTGTTGCATGAGTGCCCCCGCGTTCGCCCGGCATGTGGTCAAGAATGACCTTGCCGACCAAGTGTTTGTTGTATATGTGCGCCCGGTGAGTGAAGAAAAGAAAGAGGAAGAGCCGATACCCCCCAATGTACACAAGTTGTTTGTTGAGTTGGCTGATGTTGGAGAGGCCCCAAGTGGAGTGGTGGAGAGAGAAACCAAGCACCGGATAGAGTTAGAACCCGGTAGCCGTATTCCCAAGGGCCCTATCTATAGAATGTCTCCAAAAGAGTTTGATGAGCTGCGAAAGCTGTTAGACAAGTTGCTTGAGAAAGGGTGGATTAAACCAAGTTCCTCACCATTCGGTGCACCAGTCCTGTTCCTACGAAAGAAGGGCAGCGAATTACGAATGTGCATAGACTACAAGGGACTTAATGCGATAACCGTTAAGAATACGAAACCATTACCACGTATAAATGATCTTCTGGATAGAGTTCAGGGTTGCAAATATTTATCTAAGATTGATCTGAAGTCGGGATACCATCAGATTGAGGTACTGCAAGAGGATCGACACAAAACGGTTTTCCGAACGAGATATGACCACTATGAGTTTGTGGTGATGCCTCTGCAACCTTCCAGCGATGTATGAATGACTTATTTCGTGATTGGCTTGATAAATTTGTTGTTGTTTATTTGTAGGTAGCAAATCCGGATATCCGGCAGGCCAATTTTATCCGGAATTTTCAATCCGGATGAAAAATTCGGATTAATTCCGGATATGAAAAATCCGGCCCTGCGCAAATTATTTTGTCTTTACCAAAAAAAAAACAAATTCAAAAAAATATGGAAAAAAAATATGTTGTTCATATCAATGATACAAACAACTTTTGGCTTGAAGCCATCTTCGATATCTTAACATATAAGAAGATAAAAAATAAAACAAAAAAGAAAATAATATTTAGATAAAACGTTATAAAACGAACTAAGCATCCCTCCTCTAAACCCCTTTATTGAAGTTTATTCCTTATCTTACCCCCTTTGAACCCTACCATAACCCTGTCTCTTATACACATCTAGATGTGTATAAGAGACAGGTGCTACACAGGAACGTAGTTCTATTGTATTTTGCATGCGCACACTTTTTTTTTTTTTTTTTTTTTTTTTGCTTTTTTTTTACCATTTTTTTAATCATCCGGATTTTTGGATAATCATAACCCTCAATAATCCGGCCGGATATTCCGACCAGATTATCCGGCCAGATAAGCCGTGCTACCGAGGTTTATGTAGATAATATACCGATTTTTAGTAAGAATCCGGAAGAGCATGAGGAACACCTTCGAATTGTGCTTAATATGCGAGAGGCGAAATTTAAGATTAACCCGAAGAAGTGTGAGTGGGCAAAGCGTCAGGTCCTTTACTTGGGACATATGGTAGATGGTGATGGGATCAAACCGGGAGACACTAAGATTGCAGCTATTGGAGATTGGCCTAACCTGCACACATTGACGAAATCGCGCTCGTTTCTTGGTCTTGCCAACTATTACCGCAAGTTCGTTCAGAACTTTACGGTAATCGCTGCCCCATTGTGCATGCTGCTAAAGAAAGAAACTGTATGGAAATGGGATCAAGATTGTACTGCGTCCTTCAAGCGTTTAAAGAAATGTTTGATTAACTACCCTGTATTGAAAGTTGCAGACCCATCTCTGCCTTTTATTGTAACCACTCACGCCAGTCAATACGGGATTGGTGTTGTACTCCAGCAAAATAATGCAAATGGGTAAAGGCGTGTAGAGTTTATGTCATGTAGACTGCCTAGCGAAAAGGTCGCCGCTTCTACCGATGAGAGAGAGTTGTTTGCTCTGAGGGAAGCATTGAACCACTGGCAACATTATATGCTAGGACGCCACTTCAAACATTACTCGGATCATGAGACACTTCGTTGGTTAAAGACCCAGGCCCGGATGACACCTAAACTGACCAGGTGGGTTGGGGAGATTGATCAATTTGACTTTGAATTGAAGCCAGTAAAGGGTGAGTACAATGTTGTCGCTGACACATTGAGTCGAAGGGCTGATTTCTTCGGTGCCATTGTCACATACTTGGATGCAAGCACCAAACTACAGGAATCTGCCTACACAAGTGATCCAGTCTATAGCCAGTTGATTGGCAAGGTGCGGACGACACCTCACAAAGTACCAGACTATAGAGTAACACAGGGACTGCTGTTTGAAAAGACAAATGTCCATAACCGACTATGTGTTCCGAACAACGAGGAAATTCGTAGCATAATACTTGGGGAGAAGCACGATACCGAAGGGCACTTCGGATGGAGGAAGACTTATGCTAACCTCCTACGCTCCTACACATGGCCAGGAATGAAGCATGATTGCATCTCTTATGTGCAAGGCTGTCAGGTCTGTCAAAGGAACAAAAGTTTCACACAGCCTCCCCATGGATTACTCAGACCACTACCTATTCCGTCGGGACCCGGGGACTCCGTGTCTATAGACTTTATGGATACTAAGATAAAAAGCAGAAACGGGAAAAGTCAGGTTATGGTTATAGTGGACAGGTTTAGTAAGTTTTCTGTGTTTGCTCCACTTTCTGCAGAAGCAAAAACTGATGTGGTGATTAGGGAATTCTTTAACCATTTGGTGAAGGATTTTGGACATTCCTTGACTATTGTAAGTGATAGGGATTCGCGGTTCACAGGTGAGCAGTGGCAACAACTAATGAAGGTATACGGATCCAAACTGACGATGTCTTCAGGTAGACACCCTGAGGCAAATGGACAAACTGAGCAGATGAACAAGTTGCTGCAACAAGTGTTGCGCATGTACAGGTGGCCAGATCAGATTGACTGGGATGAACATCTGCCAAAAGTTACAAGTGCCTATAATAACTCTGTGCATCTAGCCACATCTAGAACACCGACTGAACTGTATCTTGGATGGTGCCCACACAAACCCATTGACTGTCTAAACCCTGATCAAGTACAAAGACTTCCACCAGGAACCAGGGAATTCACTGTCCAATATCAGAAAGATCTGGAAAAGGTTAAGGAGAACATTAGTAAGGCACACCATCAAATGATAGGGGCATTTTGCCATACCCATGCCTTTTAGGGGTATTTGGTGAAATACCCCAACTTTCAGGGGCATTTCAATATCTGAATCTCCTCCTTACTGCCAGCCACTCAGGAGGTCCACCATGATAGCCATGTCATACACCTTCCTCCTTCCTTGTCAAGTAGGTGGCTATGGTGGACTGACGAAGCTTTGCTCCGGTGTTCAAAGGACAACACAAAGCTGATGTGCCCCTCCTACTATGACCACCATGCCTATCACTACCCTGAAGTCTTCCTTGAAGAAGCCGACCCCAATCGGGACCCTTCCAGGTGCCACACCAACCAAGAAGATGAAGATGCAGACCACCATAGCGAGGCAAGTACCCCC